GATGAGTGAATCATTGATCAGCTGCCTCCGGCATGCCCCCCACTGAGTATGGAGCCCACAACCTGGGCATGTGCGCTTGACCAGAATCGAAGCCGGGACCCTTCAGTCTGCAGGCCAAAGCTCTATCCACTGAGCCAAACCGATTCGGCTAAAGCTTATTTTTTAATTACAGTTGACATACAATATTAGTTTCAGGTGTACAACATAGTGATTAGACATTTATAAGCTTTATGAAGTAACACCCTAGTAATTCTTTTACCCATCTGACACCATCTGTAGTTACAATATTATTGACTATATTCCCTATGTTGTACTTTACATCATTGTGACTTTTATATCTGGCAATGTGTACATCTTAAACCCTTTCACCTTTTCAAATCATACCCCTAATTTCCGTCCCATCTGGCAACTATCAGTTTCTCTGTATCTATGAGTTTGTTTCTGTTTTGATGGTTGGTTTGTTTGTTTGTTTGTTTATTTATTTAGATTCTACATATGAGTGAAATCATATGAGACTTGTCATTCTTTGCCTGACTTACTTCACTTAGCATAATTTCTTTAAATCTCTAATGTTGGCTTGTTTGGGGGTCATTTGCTTATCATTTTCTATTTAAACTATTTTAGTCATACAAAAATAGCCTTTTATTAGCTTGTAATCACTTTTCTCTTTATGTTGTTAAAGAAAATGGAGGATAAATTCTCCTCACCCTTTCAAGAAATTTTTTCTCTGCTATTGCAGAGCATTTTATACTAATTTCTACAAATCCTTCATTAAGCTGGATGGTAATGCTGTGAGTGTAACACTGAGCCTTTTCTCTATACTGTATTTTATGGTTGACCTTTGATGTTCAAATGATGGTTCAGCAATATTTATACCATTTTATATTTGAATAATATTCTGGGTCTAGGAGTTGAGTGAGATAGAAGTATCAGCCATAGGACTATAACAATATTATTAGTTAATAGTCTGCTTTGTCAGGATAAGATGTTCAATTTTTAGAAATAGAAACTGTGTGCATGGGAATTTAAAAAGATGATTGAACCCAAAGGTTATGATGTTTTCTGTCCACTTAATCATTATCTTGTGTTCTGTAAGCCACTGATAAATTTATAGCACCTATGAAAACTAAATGATTACATTTTTTAATCATCACAGATGAGAGCAATCAACTTGTTCTTAATTGTCTTAGATTCACAAACATCTGCAAGGGTTGAATTTGACAAGCTTACTTAAACATCTTTATCTGCAAAAATACTTTCATTTGCATTTAAAACTACATGGGATACAATAGCTTCAGAGATTCACAGGAACAGCCAGAAGCCAGAGAATACAGCTGTGGGCTTTTTTTATATATCTATTATTTTTACCTTCTGTATTTTGTTTCTTTTTTAAATAATGAAAGTTGCCCATCAGAAAATGTAGCTCAACCAATGTCATGCTCATCAGAGACTTGTTTGTTCTACTTACATAAAATGTAGACACTATTCAACAGATAAGTACACTGTGTTGTGGTTCAGTGTTTTACTATAGTGAAAGCATTGCAGTCTTCATAACTGAACTATACTTGTTAATACATCTTCAACCTTCATAGTACCCAGGCAATAGGTTGCCCTTTGATGGTGTCAATTTATGTTGACCATAGTTGCCCTCTGAAATAAAAGTGCTTATTTAAATACCCACATTATGCCATTCTTTGGGATCACTTGTCCACACCACAATTTCTCTTATACCGGTATGTTCTCGTCAGCTATGTGGTTTTCCCTTTATGGTTCTCAATTATCCCTGCCATTCTCTTGTGCTTTTTTACTTCCCTCACTAAGTACGTTGACCTTTTTAGGTTTTACTTCCAAATGAGAGCTACTTTTTCCTTCTGGGGCAAATAGATCTCTCTCAAAACTATAATATGGAATCTTTGGCTCTACAACCCCATTCAGGTGTTTTTTTGTTTGTTTTTTAAATATATTTTATTGATTTTTTACAGAGAGGAAGGGAGAGGGAAAGGGATAGAGAGTTAGAAACATCGATGAGAGAGAAACATCAATTCAGCTGCCGCCTGCACACGCCTTCTAGGGATGTACCCACAATCAAGGTACATGCCCTTGACTGGAATTGAACCGGGACCTTTCAGTCCACAGGCCGACGCTCTATCCACTGAGCCAAACCAGTCAGGGCTCAGGTGTTTTTATTATTATGGGTTTCTCAAGTAATCCGTTTCCCCTGTATAATGGCTTTTAACAACAAAACTTTTATTTTTTTACCTTAAGGTCTCAGTACTTTTGTTGGTAATTTGACTTCCATATAGTTGAGTTGGTAATCCACAGATGTATTTTTTCCTTATTTTAAACTATCTAGAGACCATATTAATGGACTATTTCTTGCCTCTTCATTAAACAAATTCCATGTGCCTAATCTTCAAAAGATACGCAATTTAACATATTATTGTATCTCAACTCAATGTTTCAGTGTGCACCTTGGCAAATAGCTATTTTATCATATCTTGTCTATAAAATTATATTTTACAATATAAATGTAGATAGCTATTTTTAAACAAGAATATTAGTTTACCATTATATATGATAGTCATGAAAATTAATTGTTTTATTTACAGAACCTCACTTTTAAAATGCCCTAAATCATTACCTTTTTACTTTATCCTTAGCTTATTTTTACAATCAATAAGTTAAGAACCGTTAGTCATAGAAAGCTAATGTTTCTACACACACATATTTTAAAGGATGACATGAACACTTTGTGCATACAAAGATATATTTTATATATTTTAATGGCAAGGAAATGCAAGTTACTACTAGGAAAGGATTATTAAAAATAATCAAAAGAATATATTGAATGCCTACTTACTTATACTAGGATGTTAGGGAAGTATAGGAATAGGTTGCTCTAGTGTTGTTTTTTAATTGTTCTATTGCGCTCTAGCCGGTTTGGCTCAGTGGATAGAGCATAGGCCTGCAGACTGAAGGGTCCCAGGTTTGATTCTGGTCAAGGGCACATGCCCAGGTGTGGGCTCAATCCCCAGTAAGAGGAGTGCAGAAGGCAGCCAATCAATGATTCTCATCATTGATGTTTCTATCTCTCTCTCCCTCTCTCTTCCTCTCTGAAATAAAACTATATTTTAAAAAATAGTTGTGATGAATTTATGAAGGGTATATTTTTAAGTATGCTTATTTTTACAATATATATATCAGTATACTTATTTTCAACAAGATGAAATTGCCTAGGACAATGTTACTCCTATTACATAAATTTCAGGTCTGAAAATACTATGTGAATATTTAAAAGTTAGTGAATAAAGTAAAAGGGATTTTAACATACAGAAAGTAAATACTTGGAGTACATTTAATTTTCTTGAAAGTCGCTGATATAATGGGCATCTTTTCTATTCCTCAGCTTTAACTGAGATGTAATGAAATATAACATTGTGTAAGTTTAAGGTGTGTACAACATGTTGATTTGATACACATATATTGTGAAATGATTACCACCATAGCATTGGCTAACACCTCCATCACATCATATAATTATCATTTCTTTTTTTGTGGTGAGAACATTTAAGATCATTTAGCAACTTTCAAGTGTATAGTACGGCATTATTTACTCTGGTCACTATGCTGTACATTAGAACTTAATCATCTTTTAACTGAAAGTGTGTACTCTGTGACGAACATCCCTTGGATTTCTCCCACCTGCCAGCCCCTGTTTTATTACCTGTTTCTATGAGTTTGGCTTTTTTAGATTCCACATACAAGTGATATCATATAGTATTTGTCTTTCTCTATCTGACTTATTTCACTTAATGTCATGTCCTCAAGGTCTATTCATGTGGTCGCAGATGACAGGATTTCCTTATTTCTCATGGCTGAATAATATGCTTGGGTGTGTGTGCATGTGTGCATGCACATGTACACACATACATACCATAGAATGGGCATCTTTAAAAATTGTTGTCAGTTTGATAATAAAAAAATGTGTCATTGCTTGAGGCAATATCCTGAGAGCCTACTATATATGTAGCTCTGTACTGCAGGTTGTTTGAAGTTAGTGTGGTGCTTTCTTTGAATAAGTTTTATTCTAACATTAGACCTGACTAGATAAGTGTAGATAGTAAAAGATTGGTGCTTTTAATATATTTCAATACAACAATTTCTCATTATGTTGTAGGCTTTACTCATCAGTCTTAAGTATGGCTGTTTTATGTGGCAATTGGGAGATGCTGGTACATGTTTTCAGATCCATAGTATGGAAAATAAAATGAGCTTTATAGTACATACAAAACAGGTAAGTACTCATCAGTTATTCTGGACTTCTAATAATGAGTTCTTATATTGGTAAAATTATTTTTTATAAAAGAACAATCTGTTTACTTCAAGGAAAACTGCTAATATGTAATGAAGTGAAAACATTTAAGGGGGAAAAGCATGCCTTTCCTAAGCAAACAAAGTCAGAAATGTATATGAATAATTTATTTCAGTCTTATAACATGAAACTCTCTTTTTCTGCCATTATAAAAAATTCTGGTCAGTATTGCCTATCTCTTCTATCAGGTTGTCCTTCCCTGTTCTTGACCAGTATCCTATCTGAGCCACCAGTTGAATCCAGCAGGTCATTTTTTAAATCCCTTCAAAAGCCTGAATAAATACTCTATTCTTGACAGGCTGTACCCTGATAAGAAAGTTCCTTTACAATAGCTAGAGAACTGCCCACTGCCATGTATGTCATTTACTCATCTAACACGCTTCATATTTATTGTCAACATTTTACTTTGTAGGCTGGCCTCGTGGTGAAACTGTTAATGAAGCTAAATGGACAGTTGATGCCTACCGAAAGAAATTCTTGAGAGGAAAGCAACTGATACTTAAGCCACCACATTTTGTGATACAGACTTTTTTCCATGAAAGATTTCTTAAACTATTATTTTTAATAAGGCACTAAGTCTCTTGTAATATATATGTATACTGTTATGTTGTACAGAATCTGTACTTATGTTTGGTGTGTAATATACCAATTACTTTTATATAATATCCTCATAAACTATTCTAATTTTTTCAGAGAAACGCACAAAAGAGTAGAGGTTGATAGCCTGGATAATGTTAGACAAAATAGTAAGCTTTATAAAAAGTTATTTTTGGTAAATGGTAAAGAATTTAGAAGAAATGTGATGAAATTAAAATACATATAGCTTTGCTATAACTTTGTGTGTCATTTCAAAACGTACTTTAATGTCAACATGATTTTAATAAAGAAATGTATTTTCTACTTAAGCTATAATAACACTTATTTAAAACATTTTTCTGCCCTAGCTGGTTTGGCTCAGTGGATAGAGCATTGGCCTGCGGACTGAAAGTTCCCAGGTTTGATTCCAGGGCGTCGTCTGTTTATTTTTAATGATGCTCTATCTGAGCCTTATTAAAATTAGGATTATGTTGTTAAGTTTAATGATAAAGCCTGATTTAATTTCTGTGCTAAGCACTTTTGATTCTAGATAGGCAATTCCTTGGTTCAATTTCATCCATTCCAATGGCCTCAGCTGTTACTAAGAGCCCTGTTGACTCCCAAATCTAAAACTTTAGCCTCAGCCTCTCTCTGGACTCCAGATCTTAGTTTCCAATTTCCTGCTCTTCTAGCTCCACTTAAATGAACTACACAAGGACCTTTAGTTTCATCATAGCTGGAAACAATTGTTTTGTCTACTTGCTCCATCCTATACTTGTATTGTGTAATTGGTTAATGGCATTATCAAATTTCATCCACTTACTTAGCCTGGAAATCTTGGAGTGGTCTTCAACTTTTCCCTCTTGAATCACTCTACACATTCTATTTATCGAATTCTGTTCAATGTCATGTCAGTCCTTTCCCATTCCTTTCTCCCTGTTTGCACAACAACCGTCCTAGTTCAAGTCTTCACCATCTATTCCAAGGCTCCTTGTAGCTTCCTCCTCTGACTCATGCTCTACACCCTCTCACCTATCTGTCACACTGGTGCCATCCTAACCTTTCTCATCCATCTGATTATTTCATTACCCTTTGAAAACCCTCTTCACTACATGTTGAATTAAACCTCAGTTCCTTAGTAATGAGTACAGGGCCCTTAATATTCCGTCACACACCTGCCTATCCACCGCTTCATACTCATCCTGTGCTCCCTCCTACCCAGTGTTTTCTAATCCTGGCTCTGCAGTCACATGGGGAATTTGAATACTTTATGACTTAATTTTAGGGTGGGGCCCAAGCATTTCTATTTTTAAAGTATCCCATGGGAATTTGATACACAGCTTAAGGTTTAGAACTACTGTTATAACCAGTTTTAACTAGGAGATAGTTGCATGCCTTTTCTTTCATAGTGTGGGGTGACGATGCAATGATATTACATTAAACAACTCCCTGCTCCATAGAATATAGTGTACCTTCCTGGAGTTGTAGTTTCCCTTCCCTATAGAGAAGGGAAAAGAAGACTATCAGAGAGGCATGGCTGTGAAAGGCTTAAAAGTATATAACATTAGAAAATCAATTTTAAAAATTAGTATTAAGATAAAAACAATTCATTACCTGTTTGACTATAACAAGCCAGAAATAAGTAAGGAGGGGATGCAAACAGCTTTTAATAAGGGCCTAGGAACCCTAGTCGGTTTTGGCTCAGTGGATAGATAGAGCGTCAGCCTGTGGAATAAAGGGTCCCAGGTTTGACTCTGACCAAGGACATATTCCTGGGTGTGGGCTCGATCCTAGTAGGGGGCGTGCAGGAGGCAGCTGATCAATGATTCTCTCTCATTATTGATGTTTCTATTTCTCCCTTTCCCTTCCTCTCTGAAATCAATAAAGAAATATTTTTTTTTAAATAAGTGCCTAAGATTGGTCAGGCATTATATGTGCACCAAGGATAAAAGATACCATTTTCCTTCTCATCATTCTTTCAATAAATTTGAGTGCCTTTTATGTGCTAACAATCCAGTATTAAGGAAAACAAAGTCATTGCCTTCAGCGAGCAAAGTTTAATGAGGGAGATAAGTACTCATGGAAATGTATATGTATAAACTCTAATAAGTGTGATGAAATAAAAATTAAATGTACAGTCTAACCACAAAAAAAGAAACAGTCTAGTCCTAGACATCAAGAAGGGCTTCCCCTAGAACAGTGATTCTCAACCTGTGGGTCGCGACCTCTTTGGGGGTCAAACGACCCTTTCACAGGGGTCGCCTAAGACCATCGGAAAACACATATATAATTACATATTGTTTTTGTGATTAATCACTATGTTTTAATTATGTTCAATTTGTAACAGTGAAAATATATCCTGCATCTCAGATATTTACATGACGATACATAACAATAGTAAAATTACAGTTATGAAGTAGCAATGAAAATAATTTTATGGTTGGGGGTCACCACAACATGAGGAACTGTATTAAATGGTCACGGCATTAGGAAGGTTGAGAACCA